AGTACATTTTCAGTTAAGCTTGGAGCAAACTTGTATTAATAACAAAGCCATGCTCATCTGTCCAGCTTGTAATGTAAAGTAATGAGAGCAAGAGTGGCAGAGACACAACTCAGGTGCGTGCGTTCATACCACTTCATTTTTTCTATTGGGCTTTTGATAAAAGTCAATTGTCCCTTTCAGTATTAAGGAACACAAGTGTCCTTCGTGATTACAAGTCACTAACTCAAGCAGCCCACGGCTTCCTTCCCCTTCAGTGCCTTTCTGTTTTCTCCACTGATACTTAATCATAATTTCCCTCTTCAGACAGAAGCCGGTTGCACTGGCTTTTGCTCACCTATACCCTAGAGTGGTCACTTCACAACTGCTCCTTTACAATTTTATCCACAATTTTGAGAGTATCTTGTTTTCTCAAAAGGATACACAAAGGCTGACTAGAAATTGATGCAGCTGATCTCTTAAATGTGATCCCACTCACCAACCTTTCAAGCGCTGCAGCAACCCAGTTCATCTGATTTGGTTTTGATATCTGTTTACTAGTTTGCGCCACACTACTGTTTCCTCTTTCCGCTGCACTGAACACCATGCCCAAGCTGTTAGAGACAAAGTTTTATCCTAAATCCCAGTACAATCTCTTTGTATTGTAAAACCCTCAGGGTCCATTCCTTTTTCTTTGCTTTGCTCTGTTCCTTTTGTCCCCAAGCCCGCCTTACATTTCTCTGCAAATGAATTCATAAGCCACTTAACTGCCCTAGTTTCCCACCTCTCCAAATCATTTATCACTGTGCTGCTCTTTCCTAGCAAGTGAACTTCTCTGCTCTTGAGGTTTTAAATTAATTGCCAGTTTGCTTATCCTATTGCACATTTATTTCCACAGGTTAGAACTATTAAACAAGAAAATATGTTACATCCTTACTTTAACGATTAATAGTTTATAAAAAAATACATCTCACTTCATAAGTGGTGCCAGTCTGTCAGGATACACAGGGAGAAACACAACCTGGAGGTTGCCAATATTTTTTTTTAATCCATTTCTTATAAAATCTGGCTGCATTTGAATCATCCTCTGTGCAAGTGCTTTTCTGTCACTGGTTTCTGCTTCTCACAGTAATTCCTCTCAGGCAGGAGCCTCACCATTACATAAGCCTGAGCGTTACTTTCAGGGCCTTCTTTTACCCTCATTTTTGTATGCAGAATGCCAGTGAAACCAGGTTTGAGTTGCAGAAGGGTTTCATGAGCCTGAGGGTACATCCCCAAGCATGTTGATCTCCAGTCTACATCTCTTCCTTGCTACAGTGGAAAGCGTTTACAGTTCCAGTGAGGAACTTCGCACCTTTGCATATTTATACATTTTTTACCATCTTCCAGAGGTCCTACAGACTCACAAGTACTTCATAAATAAAATACTAATAAAATGGAGAGATACTGGTTTGTGTGTTCATTGGTAAAACACAGAAGACAATGAATTACGGGGTTTGTACTTTGCCAAGGTACACTAAGTATTTCTTGCTAGTACACAACAGCTTCAGAAAGATATAATTAATTTTGAGTCGTATATATATATTTTTTTGCTGCCATACTGGCTTTTTCTCATTTGTACTTTTGGTTTAGGTTAACAAATGCATTGTGAGATTCATATGCTTGCATACAGTAATACTGTAGGGCATGCCTTTTTTCCCCAAGAGCTCTCTATCAAAAGCCTCTTTGGAAAAGATTACTGATAGTAAATGACAAATACTTTACTTTAGTGTCCCTCTGTAAGAAATAAGGAATAATCATTAAACTCATAAACTCCAGAAGCGTTACACTGGCCAACAATCTTTTAAACAGTCAAGAAACTAGTTTGTAATACAAAGCTTTCTTTCACTTCACTTTTCTTTTCTCCTTCCCTATGACATCTGACGCACAAGAGTGGGGTTCTGCACCTTAGCCAAGTTCTGCCTGCACAGGATGAGGCCTCCGCATCGAGGACCCAGCTTTCAAGTCTGGTCCCCTCCGAGATCACAGACACCCCTCGCCTTTGGAACAGATATCAGTCTTTTATGGGACTACAAGTGGATCTGATCATCCAAACACAGGACTTTTAGCACCGAGTGGGACTCCTATGTCAAAGAGTGGACCTACAACACATAAAATGTTTTGTAATATTCTGACATGCAGAATTACTGGTGGTAGCGGTGTTACCTAATTTTAAATGCTGTGTATGACATAATTCAGTACTTCTTTTTATATATTTGTGTGTATTTATAGTTATGGATCTCCAGGGACATACATGTTATTATTTCTTACTTATCCATTGGCCATCTTTAATTCCAAAAGTACCATTAGAATTTATGATAAACTCATACAAGGACTCATGGAAATAAACATTGAGACTCTGCATTCACTGTCAGATGCTTTAAGGTCCTTGAAAGGTCAACACAAATTAAATTGCATAATTAACTGTAAGTTTAATTAAGGAGTCACAGAATGAGAGGGAAAAGAACACGGAGATCAAATTTTCCATTCTACATCCTTAAACATTAACTCAGTTGGCATCAGAACGACTGAAATCACAGAAGGACAGTTAGGGGAAATATTGGCTTTTCAGTAACAATCTTGGACCCAACTATTTCTTAGCACATATATATATATATATGTGTGTGTATATATATATATATACACACATTCAAAAAAATATATATGTACAGAAGGCAACAACCGCATAATTCACCATCTTCCTCAAAAGTCTGCAAGCAGGAGAATAAATAAGAAACTAAATCTGGCCCCATTCCAAAGCCTAAGAGCATCTTTTGTTGAGTCGCTTTAAAAATCAGAAGAATAGCCTCTGAGAATTTGGGCGTGACATAAAATTCCTACAGAATACTTTCTTGACATAGCAGCTATAGAAACAGAATGAAGAGCTTCTTCATTCTAGATCTCATTTCTTTACATGGCATGTAAAAGAACATGACTTCTGTCTTTGAGCCTTGGTGCTGCTGCAAAATATTTTTTATTTATATGTTTCATCTGTATTAATAATTTTAAATTATTTTTCCTCGTGACAGGTTTTATGCCTAAAGAACTAAATCATTTGATTTAAACCTCTAGAAAATATTTTTCAAAATAAATTTGACCTGTCCTATAAATGCTAGCTGAAAAATGTTATACAGTAACTTTATATATTTAAAATTCCACCCTTTCATTAAAATACCTTTTAGTACAGAGGAATTTCCTTCTGCTAGTAATTCTACGATACGTCCAAACTCAAAAAGTCTTTAGGATCTTGCTGGGAATTAATTTTACTTTGATCATATTCAAATCCATTACTTGAAAACTGCTAACCGGAAGACTGAAGACCATCTTCACCCTAAGATTTCTTAGAAATGTAGTTTAGTGAATATTAAATAAACAAATTAATTTAACCACCCAACCTAACCAGGGATTCAGTTCACAACAGATCTCAAAACCATAACTGATCTCATTGCTTCCCACTACCCCTGCTTGAAAGACAATGTGAAAATGGAAAAAAAAATACCAACAATGAAAATGAGGAAAGTAAAACGTGGGCACTGGTATAAAAAATCCAAAAGTATCACATGCAGACTGGCCTGAATAAAGGGAATTATGCAGTGGTTGTGCTAAAATCCAAGCTACAATATGCATGTGATATCTCAGACTGTCCCATCTAAAATAAAGGAAAATCCTTGCCCCCGTGAGGCTAATCCACTACACTCATGCAAGTAGCTCCACAGGCAGTGAAACCATTTCTTGCATAAGGCAAATAGGAGTTGCCTTGAACCAGAAGTCAGCCAGAACCATTTAAATTCAAGCATCAATTGTAAGCACAGTACTTAACGCCAAACAACATATATTGCAACAACAGCATGAGAAAATATATATTGCTTATAGTTTAAAAGGGTCTTTACTTTCAGAAATGAGCTCAGTGTGAAACTGGTTATTTAACAGAAAAAAAGACTTTCCAAAACACTCTGCAGAAGGGGCTCAGGTCATCTAAGCAGGTAACAATACAAACACAATGTATCTCTCCTGTGAGAATGAGAAGCTGAAGCTGAATCAAAAAAATCACTTAAGAAAAGTGATATGCTAAAAGTACCTACCTGGATTCCTGCCTTCCATCTACTTGTTTACTCCCCTCAGTTCAGCACTTGAGAGTCCACATCTGGAGCATTATGAGCACCTTTGGGCTCCCCAATACAAGACAGACATTGATACACTGGAGTGAGCCCAGTGGAGGGTAACCAAATTGATGAGGGGACTGGAGTGTCTCTGTGCAAGGAGAGATGAGCATACTGGATTTTTCAACCTGGAGAAGGTTCGGGGGGATCTCATTGCTGCCTTCAGCAACGTATCAGGAGGATATAGAGACAACGGAGACAGGCTCTCCCCAGAGATACAATGAAAAGAGGCGATGGATACACGTTACAACACAGGCGATGCAGATTAGGTAAGAAAAAAATTTTCACCCTGAGTGATAGGTATAATGGGAATAGGGGCCAGAGAGATTTGAGTCTCCTACCTTGGAGATATCCATGACTCAAATGAACAAGGCTCTGGAAAACCTCCTCTACCTGGATCTGCTTTTAGTCAGAGGATGAACACAGTGACCTCCAGAAGCCTCTTCCAACCTATGCAGTTCCATAGCTCTGTGAGATCAATGGGAAAGGCCTTCAACTGAACGATGGGAGCAAAGGATGGCAAAAAATAATTAGTGCACAAATTTATGCCTACAAATATCACGTTTGTACTGCTGCTCCATGCTTTAATGGAAAATTATGTAAAAAATATCTGAAAAACACTTTCTAAAATGTTGAGGGCCTTTCACAGAAATTAAGTTGAAAATATAAGTTAGGTATTAAGACTCTCCATGCAAAAATGACAGTCTTTTTTCATATTTTAAGTAAATCTTTGAGAAAGCAGAATGAACGTCTGGGTTTGTTTTCTTTCAAACGAGAATAATTTGAAAAATTTTCTTTCAAAGGATTCTTTTTATTACATTTCAGATCACACCAAGCTGTGAAAGCACAAGGTGCTTCCTATCTAATCCCAGTCCCTCTTTTCCTGACCTCCTGTGTTTTCAGCAGCAAGCATGGATTTATACAGGCTGGTCCACCACACAGTAGGAACTCCCTGCAAGGTATTACCTTAGCCCAGGGCCTGGTGCAACCAGCATGTGCAGAAACGGCAGAGCACAGGGAATGCCCAGCACTTCTGGTACTGCTGGTCCAGCACAGGCGCAGGGATAGCTGAGCTGGCGCGAGACCTGGCCAAGTAACGCAAAGGCAAATATATCTGCATACGTTTGGCAGTGAGATTCCCACAGCAGCTAGCACTGACAAAATCTCACTGCTACTAGATCAATGCTATTACTACTGACAAGGCACAAAATTTTCTACGCAGAAAAAACTTTCCTGCTCCCATAAACAACAGCTAATAACTTTTGCTCATCCTGAGGCATTTTATCTAAGGCTAACTGTATAATACAACTGACGTTTATTTCATTACCACCTTTTCAAAAAACAAAAAAAAAAGCTATGAACAGCATCCCCCAAGCGTCTCGTTACTAATACATAAAAATTCTCAGTCAAAAAGAGATCTCATTATACCTATAAAATTTATTTTGCCTTACAAAAATTGGCTGTCACAAAAAGTCCATGTAGGTAGCATAGCAGCTACCACACTTAAGCATCAGTTCAGCACTGAGCTCCAAGAATCTCAAATGAAACCACAGGAGATGTTAAGCTGAGTTGAGGAGGTCTGTCACTTCAGCAGACTGCACTAGCGGTACAGTTTTATAATGAGTCCCTAGATTGAAGAAAATGTAAAATCATCCAAGAATAAAATTATCTGTCTTCAGCAAGGGTCTCTCACTGATTTCCCCTTATCAGTAAATTGAGAAACACTCACTGAGGATGGCAACTTTGTGCAGTTCCATCCGTAAGGAATGACATTCTGAACCTTACCTAAATGTACTTGAGCACCTAGTCAGTCAGGCTCCCTATTTCAGAAGACTAGGAAAAAACTTTCTTGAGAAAGTGACAGAATTCAGACTGTACACACAGGCCATAAACCACCAGAGACAGACGCTGCTTTGGTCCTCCTTGTTTTGTGATGTTATGAGAAAGACAAGCTAACCCAATGTAAATAGATATGAGCAGCAGAAATCCCGAATATTTTTTATCTTTGTTCCAGCTCTCCCATATACAATCCATAAGCAAACTCCTATATAATAAATCATTTATTTGTGGAATATTTTCTTTAATACAAATCTATTTTACCAAAACAGAAAAGCAGATGCAACAAAAAGAAACAAGTAACAGTGTAAACTACCCATAATATCACCCTGACACAACACATCACTGCTGAGGTACTGCACTAACTGTGCAAATGAGAGTCTGGCCTGAATTCTGCAACACATCCAGGTTTCATTCAAGTGCACAACTGAACGAGAAAGATGGGAACCCCTAAAAGCTGAAAAACACACAGGATGAAAGGGTAAAAAACCGTGCCATCTCCATACACATGTGATGCAGATTTGGAAATTAGTGGGGTGAGCAAAGCCTACAACATTTAAGGATACTCAAGATGAGCATGCTGGGTACTGATAAGCACCAAAAAGTTATTGTTAACTGTGACGATGTTTCTGCAGGCTTTGATGGATCCTATGTTGCACGTTGTGTTGTCTGACGCAGAAACAAATGTTCTCTGTCTTAGAAGTAGTTGCAATTCCCACTGGACATAAAGGACAAGAATGTCACAGAAAGGGGTCTAAAGCCAGGCTGAGATGGGGATTTTTTTCAGAATTATCGAACACTAAGCAATTCCCCTGCATTCAAGGTCAGTTACTAAGGCCTCTATATTTTCCACAGTTTGTCAGCTTATGCTAAGCATAGATTTTTTCAGCCAAACATAAAAACATAAGACTCCAAGTGTGTCAGGATTAAAGTTAATACTGATAGCATGGCTAAAGGTAAGGCACCATTTGGGAAAGATGCCATCACCAAAATTGGCAGAAGCGCTAAGCACTAGAAATTCCTAAAATTTGAAGTGGAGAAAATATTTTGATATCTTTAAATACAGCGTTACATACATATGTGACCCTTCACATGCAGAATGAGGCCAAGGGGGCACATATCCAGAACAACACAAAGAAAATCAGCTTTTCTAATTCGTATATGGATTCACAACTTCACACCATAACTAAACAACAGACAGCCCTAAAATAAAGCCATACAGTTTCCATTTATTGAAACAATAGAGAAGGAGTCTTTCAAGGAGTCAGATTTTCTGAGAGATTGTAGAAATTAATCACAAGATAACTTTTGCAGCAGCATTTTCAGGGATTTTAGAGTAGGGATGTGCTAATTAAGAACCAAGGTACTATAGTTGTGGCAAAAGGCACAGGTATCCCTGAGCCATAATGAAATGTACTTATAAGTTTCCAGTAAACCTTCATTTCAACTGCCTTAGGCTCGCTTGATGCTTGCCTAGGTTTAAAAAGAAAAGAAAGAAAAAAAAAGGTGATCAATGACAGCAGGCAACTTTTTACAAAAAAAAAAACCAACCCAGAGTTCACAGGCTTTACATCCACCCCAAACTTCATTACAACTCTAAATCCATCACTACTGATCCAAAGAGAAATTAAGCTGCCTACATATTGGCAGTAAAGTTGTTCCTATGTGAGAGAACTGGCTCACGGGACTACAAAGCCACCCAGGGGCAAGGAAGCAAAGGCGGCTGCCGACGTACTCGTGGAGTGTCCATTTCCATTTCCCTCACTCCCAAGCAGTACCAGTGGGACTACTCTGCACGCGCCTGCAGGACTAATGCAGGCACGGGAGAAAGGAATTGCTTGGTTTCTAAAAAAATCCAAACTGCTGACAGGACATGCCAACAAACGCCTTATTGCTTGCATTCTCTACCTAAGCAGCTAATGGCATGCTTTTCTTAGAGATACACAACCAATTCTGAAAGCTCGTATGCTTTAGTACCCGCTGCAACCCTATCTTCTCTTGTCTCTTACAACACAGCATTTACCATTCACAATGAGAAACGTTTCCAGGACCCCTGGTAACAAGTAGATCTTACTACTGTAAACTGGTTTTGGCTCTTACTTGGACTACATTCTTCTCCTGGCCCCCATCCAGCCACAGCGAATTATTTTCTCTGCACGGCTCAGATAATCGCGTCCACCCCCGCGGGTTTATTCCCAGGCAGTCCCCTCCCTTTTAGCCAAAGTGCTGGGCTGGACTCGGCTTTCAAGAGCCGCTATCTGCCTACGGCTCCTAATCCAAGCAGCACATCCCCGCAGCGTGCCTGGCACTTTCCTTCCCTCTCCCCAGGGACCGCAGCAGGGAGGGGAAGGAGCGGCGCCGGGGTTACTCCAGGCCCCGGGAGCTCCGG